ATCATTTATTATCTTGCAAATATAATAGATCAAAAAAAAAAGATACTGCATTTTGTATTAAAGTTGCATTTCTTTACTAGACTAGTTCTAGGTTGAACATAAAAATGACAGCACATTAATATTTTCCTCCGTAAGTGGCATGTTCAACTCCTTTGCAAATTTCTCCTAATAGATAGTGTTCTTCCAATAGCTCATGAAGATCTTTCTGTGTTAAGGAATAGCAATCTAAAGGGGGGGGGTTGTAAAGTTTCAAAGCCAAGAAGCAAGAATCCAGTTCCTTCCCTGCTATTTCTCTTTTGCCTGGTCAGTCTCAACCTGTTATTGCCATCACAGAAAGCACTTGGCAGGAGCATTACCTCTGTATCTCACAACGGGAGGGCCAAGCACTACAGGAATTGTCTCATTACTTCCACAAAGAGATACAATTCCCTGGAGATTCTGCTGACCAGTCAGGTCTGGGAACAATGCCATGTGGAACAGCTAACTTCTGAAGAAAATAAATCTAAGATTTAGCAATGGGTCCCTTGGAGACTTAGAGCCACTGCTACAATGTGCCCTCCTGAAGAAGCCTGTACTCAGCAGACAGGTCATAAAGAGACGGATGACAGCCAAGCACCCACAGGGTGCTGGGCAGGCAGGCAGGTACTTTTCTTCCTAGATCAGTGGCAACAGAGAAACATGGCTCCATGTCACAGAACACACCACCATGACCTCGACGGTTCCTTTCTGTCACTTCTTGAACACTGCGGTTCAGACTTATGATCCCAGATGCCTCTCTCCTGTGGCATCATTTGTTTAGCTAACACTTCTTGCCAAGAAACATGCCCCTTAGAAGAAAACTCAGCAAACAGAACTGCAGAGGCAATTATCATTATTGTAATTAGCATACTTGCCTCGTAACCACCATGTAAATGCCTGGAATCCTTCATTCTCACTCAAGCTGGACTGGGAAGTCTAGGGAATAAGAGAAAACACTAGGTACAGAGACCAGAACCACAAGCAATGGGCCTGGACACAAGGGAAATGTTTGCTACCTTTTTCTCTCCCTTCTTTGTATCATTAGTAAGTACCTGGTGCCTGGGCCCCATGGCAAGCAGTGAATATAAATGATTTGTGAACCGATTCTTACCACCTGCTTTGCTGACATGGAAGTGCAAATAAATATCCCCACAGAAACCAGGGCAATGGAAGCATATTTGAATATACTGTATCTGCAGAAATAAGAACAAGAACACATTAGGAAGGCACAGGTACCAGTTTCCACAGGATGTTTTCAGTAGATGGTGCCTGAGAGTATAAATCACCAGCAGAGCCCATGTAAGTCTTCATGTGCAAGGATCAGGGTGCCCACTGGTTGCTACACACACCCTTCCTTGGTGTTGCTTAACATAGTTTCTAAAAGTTTGTGGACCAACAGATTGTTTCATTGGGGGGAGGGGGAGACCAGACGTGACATTCCATTGGTGACAGTCCAATAGAACAGTTCTGACACTTTTCATTCTATCTTCTTGGCCACTTGGGCTTTATTTGGAATTTTCTTTGTACTAAGTGCACGATTAGTCCTTCGTTCATTGTGTTGCACTAATGAAAACCTTCTCTGACAGCACTGTCCCACACAACTATGAGCCTGGAAATGCTCCATCCTGGGCTCTCCAATACGGTCACCAACAGCCACATGTGGCTACTGGGCAATTAAACTCTGACCACTGAGAATTGGAAACTAAATGTTTAATTTTAAGTAATTTAAATGTTAAATGTGAATAGTCACATGTGGCTACTGGTGACCACAAGGGAACTGAAATTCTCAATCGATTGGCTTCATAGGTTAGGATGGATCTAAGGACTCAATTATGCTAAGAGCTAATTCTACAGAGAGAACACTGCTGCACAGGTGGGACCCCCTACCTGGTCAGCTGCTCCAGGAACGCACATCATTGTCACAGAGAGAACTCAAACAAAGAAGGCCAGGAGCATGCCCCCTCTAGCAGGAGAAAAGTAATCTACATGCCTAGCCTATAGGTGGGGCCAAGAATGTGCTTCCTAAACATAAATTATAAAAGCATATTGTTTACCTTTTCTTCAAAATGATAATCCCTAGAATCATGTTGGCAATTAGAGAACCCTGTAAAAGGAGACAAGAGGAATTTTTAGTGCACTAGGAAAAGACAACATACTTCAAGATAAAAATGAACATTGCCAAGAGGGAAAAACATCTGGGCAGGAGGAGATTAGGATGAATAATTAGTAAGGTCCAGGTGTTCTTGTGATGACAAAAAATATAAGCCATAAAAATCTATCTTGCAAAATAATTACGCCTTTTAAAGATGACAATGAAAATAACAATGATCAATTCTCAATAACTACTCATAGCTGAAGCTTATTACAGGCTTATTTTTGTCAACTTTTCCATCTAATTTATAAGAGCTTTTAGTACGTTTCTCCTCCCCACTGCGTTTTGAGGAAAGAAGTTATGTGGAGATCTCTCTCTTCTCTGGAAAGGTGTCTCTCCTTCATCGAGCGCTCATAGAAAGTCTACTATGTGCTCAATGCTGTGAGGGTCATCTTAGTCATTATAATTAGCTCTGGGAAGTGCCTTTAGAAATAACACATTTGATCTCACAAAAAACTCAGACCACACTAAAATATTACAATTCTAATCCTCACCCATTTTGTATTCTTCTGCAACCCTAACTATACTTCCCTTGAAGTCTTTTCTGCCCTCCAGGGAAAACTGTTCTTATCTATATACTGAACACAGTTCTCTCACCATACATGAGGCAAAGAAAAAACCTCTACTGCTTTGGAAGAAGCATGCCTCCAAGAATTTTTCTTTATTTAATTATCTCAAGTCTCTGATTTAAAAAAAAATCAGGAAGGAAAAGGGTCTGGCCCTGGCATGTGTTTCTCAATGGTTAGAGTGTGGGCCTAAGCACTGAAGGATTGTGGGTTTGATTCCTGGTCAAGGGCACATATCTGGATTGCAGGTTCAATCCCCGGCCATGGTCGGGGCACATACAGGGAGGCAAACAACCCGTGTGTCTCTCTCACATCGATGTTTCTCTCTCTCCCTCTGTTCAACTCTCTCTAAAAATCAATGAAAAAATATCCTCAGGTGAGGATTAACAACACACACACACACACACACACACACACACACACACAGAGAGAGAGAAACGAAATGAAAGAAGGGTCTGTTTCATTTACTAGAAATAAATGTAATTTTATGTAAGAAAGAAACAAAAAGTGATGAGAAATGTTAAAGAACATTCATAGGAAGTTTGAATATAAAATCAACCAGATGAAGGAAATTAAAAGTTAAAATCTGCTTCTCAGGAAAATGTTAACTTTCCTTTTATCAATCACCCATAAGACCTGAGATACATAAAAGTAAACCATCCACTTTCACATTGCTCTCTTTCGGCCTTCTCAGACGACAGTCAGCCTCTGCTCACTGATCTGAGCAGCAGTACTCGCAGATCTAAATATCATGTGCAGGGGCATGGTGATGTTGAAGTTCAGGGCATAGTTGTTCACCAAGCTGACCGTGAAAAACATAGTCACCATGATGGCATAGTATCTGAAATGCAGAGGCAACAGCTTACCACACAGAATCTACTAGTTCAAGAAAATCAAATAGAGAAGGAAATAAATACCTCTAGTTAAAAGTATTTTGCTTATTTCCTCTTTATTAAAATTGTATCACTATTATAATTTGAGTAGAATAATAAGTACCTATAAAAATACTTCACAAAGCCAAATTAACATAGAAAAAGTTTAAATTATAGAGTATGTTTCAAGAAACACTATTTTAATATGCTTCAAGAATACATAGCAACTAAAAACTAGGCTTCAAAAATGTTACCTAATAGCAATTGTGTGTTTTTTTTATTTTATTGATTTTTTACAGAGAGGAAGGGAGAGAGACAGCTAGAAACATCGATGAGAGAGAAACATCAATCAGCTGCCTCCTGCACATCTCCTACTGGGGATGTGCCCACAACCCAGGTACATGCCCTCGACCGGAATCAAACCTGGGACCTCTCAGTCCACAGGCCGACGCTCTATCCACTGAGCCAAACTGGCTTCGGCAGCAATTGGTTTTTAAAAGTAAATGGGGAGAGATGACATCAGCATCATGGAAGAGTGAGAAGACTCCATTGTTTCTCCTCTTAAATTTATCTCAAAACAATTATAACTCAACAAAGATCCCGTGCTCAGCACACAAACACACCTGAAATATTTATGCATTAGCACATCTGAAGGTGGGCATGTTGAAATGAGTAGGGAAGGTGGGATGGGGGAAGGACAGGAGGGGAGGGGGGACAGGGGAAGGACAGGGATGTGACCACAGATGCAGTTTGGTGCCCATCCTGGCTCCAGCGAGCAAGGAGCACAACAGTGGGGGAGAAGTCTGGCTGCAGCCCTCAAACTACAACCTGGAGGGTCAGAGGGGCAGAAGCAGTTTCCTTCCTAGAAAAGGCATTTCCCTTCCGCCCTCCCCATTAAGGCAAAGCTGGTATTGAGGTGGCTGGGAAACCATTACTGTAGGGGTGGAGCATAGCTATAAGATCTCTACCTCAAATGCACACACAGAGAAACAACCCATCAAATACCATGAACAACAGGGTAACTTGGGAGGACAGAAAGGAAATGAAAAATCTCCAGGAACCAAACTCAAAGGCATGGAAGACTGTGGTTTAAATGACAGAGAACTCAAGACTGCAATTGCAAAGAAACTCAACAATATACAAGAAAACTCAGAAAGGCAAGTCAAAAGTTCAGGAATACAATGAGCAAAAGCAGTACTTTACCAAGAGATTCAAACTATAAAAAAAGAAACACATTCTGGAGCCGAAGAACTCAATAAATGAGACAAAGAATGCACTAGAGAGCATTGGAAACAGAGCAGACCAGATGGAAAAAAAGAATTAGGGAACTTGCCCGGCCAGCATGGCTCAGCAATTGAGCATCAACCTATGAACCAGGAGGTCACGGTTCAATTCCTGGTCAGAGCACATGACCAGGTTGCAGGCTCCATTCCTAGTGCAGGGTGTGCAGGAGCCAGCCAATCAATGATTCTTTCTCATTATTGATGTTTCTCTCTCCCTCTCCCTTCCTCTCTGAAATCTACAAAAATACCCCTTGAAGAAAAGAGAGAACTGGGAGTTAAAATTAAAAACTAAAAGCAACATAAGGATAATAGACACGGTATACCAGAAGGAGAAGAGAGAGAGGAGGGAACAGAGATCCCACTTACAGAAATAATTGACAAGAACTTCCAAGCCTATGCAAAGAACTAGATATTAGAATAGAGAAAGCTAACAGAACATCTACTTATATCAATGCAAAAAGAGCTTCTCCAAGACTCATTTTATTCAAACTGTCAAAAATCAATGACAAAGAAAAAATTCTTAAGGCACCCAGGAAACATAAAGATTAACTGACAAAGGAAACTCCATTAGATGATCATCACCAGACTTTTCTGTAATGTTTTCAGTAGCAACACTACAAGAGAGGAGAGAGTGAACGAAAATATTTAAAATATTGAAAGAGAGGAACCCATCAGCAAAAGATAAGATATTCAGCAAAGTTATCCTTTAGACATTAAGAAGAAATAAAGGCTTTCCCAGACAGACAAAAGCTGAGAGAATTTACCACTGTAAGACTGCACATAAGAAATGTTGAAAGGAGGTCTTCTACTGGAAACAAAAACACAAAAGTACACAAAAAGATGAATAAGATGATTAATAGATAGAAGAAGAAAACTGAAAATCTATTTAAGAGTAGTTTATTAAATAATATATATTAATTAAAGAGTAATATGCTAATTAGACTGAGAGACCTTCCAGAGACCTTCCGGACGTCCTTCTGGACAAAGCCGGGGGCTTGGCCGGCCTGCAAATGGCCATCAGCCCCTCACCCAGGTTGGTCACGCCCCCCAGCAGAGACCCCCACCCTGAAGAGGGTCTGGCCAGCCTGAAAACAGCCCTCAGCCGCTCACCCAGGCTGGCCACGCCCCTCAAGGGGACCCCCACCTTGATCCGGGACCCCCTTCAGGGCAGACAAGCAAGCCCCACACATGCACCAGGCCTCTATCTATACTAATAAAATGGTAATATTAGTAATTAAGGGTAATTAGACTGGGAGACCTTCCAGGAGACCTTCCAGATGCCTTTCTGGACAAAGCCATGGCAGCGGGGCCGAGGCAGAGGCAGTTAGGGGTGCTCAGGCAAGGAGGGGAGGGCAGTTGGGGGAGATCTGGCTGACGGGGGGCGGGCATTTGGGAGTCAGCAGCTTGGCAAGTGGGTCCAATTGGGGGCGAGCAGGCTAGCAGGAGTGCAGTTGGGGACGGGCAGGCCGGCAGTGGGGGACAGTTGGGGGTGAGCAGGCTGACAGGAAGAGTGGTTAGGGGCAATCAAGAAGGCAGGCAGGTGAGCGGTTAAGAGCCAGCAGTCCCAGATTGTGAGGGGGATGTCTGACTGCCGGTGTGGGATTGGGCCTAAACTGGCAGTCAAACATCCCCCAAGGAGTCTCAGATTGGAGAGGGTACAGGCCAGGCTGAGGGATACCGCATCCACCCACCCCCCAGGAACGAATTTCATGCTCCGGGACACTAGTTATAACATAAAGGTTAAAGGGGGAAGGGCATTAAAATAAGTGTAACTATTGCAGATTACAAGTTCACAACATAAAGAGGGATAATTTGCAACAACAAAATGATAAAAGAGAAGGAAGAGGATTGAATAGTACAGGTGAATGAAGAGGCAATCAGAAGAATAAGGACTGTTATATGTATGTATGACACATTTTGCACAATCCTAATGGTAACCACAAAACAAAAATCCAGAGCTGAGATAAAACATTACAAAAGGAGAAGAAATGAAGAAGAAAATCATAGAAAACTGTCAAATTAAAATAGCAGAAATAATTATCAGAGAAAACAAACAATGGAAATAGAACAACAAGAAAACAAAGGATACAATAACTGTGGTAAATCTTCATATATCATTAACAACCCTAATTATAAATGGATTGAACTCACAAATCAAAAGGCTCAAAGTAGAGGTATGGATTATACAACAAGACCCAACTATATGTTGCCTTCAGGAGACTCTGCTCAATTAC